CATTCCTATTTTAAGAAAATTAAAGCAATATGGCCATGCTATAATTATAAAAATAGTGTAGCAAATGAAGGATTATGACTCTATGTTGGAACTAATAGAACAGGAAAATAAGATGATAATAATCTGTAAATTTAGCCCCTATTTGGCATCCATTCTCTTTCTCATTTTTTTCTCTTTTTTCATTTCAACCACACATTAATCAATAAAATAATATTACACATAAACCCAAAAAATTTTCTTACTTTTCAACCACACATTCTTTCCATCAATCACTATTCCAAAATTTATTCTTCACCAAAATGGGTGTCAAACACACCCTTAATTTTAAATCCACGCACAAAATCATACACAGGAAATTCATTCCAGTCTGATATTGACAATTTACTAGTTTACTCTTCCACCGTCCTTTGTAATTCTCACCAGTCGAATGATAGGCAATTAGAAGGAAATTACAGGAACAAAGGTGCCACCTTTATCAGCACTTACTATTAGCCACAACCCACAAGTGATCTCCTAGCACAACAATCAGAAGAAACAAAAGAGAAGACATGAAGAAATAAAAATCTTTGACAAATTAATATGGCCAAACTTCTGCTCTCCAGCCAGCATAATGGTAAAGTCTAAATGGGCATCTACTATCTAGTAAGAACCCGATGGACAGAGAGAATTAAAGTTTTCTATTTACAAGTTGGGATGTCATCTCCAAAAATATTGAGAGAACTTTAATTTACTACATGTTACTCTGCTAAAAAGTCAATAATGCATAAATCCCATACATGCACATTGAAAAATGGACATTTTCAGAATTATTTACATCAAATTTTGGTGTCACATAGGCATTCAAAGCAACAACCAACATTGTGCATTTGATTCGTCTTGGAGATTTCCAGGATGGATCTGGCTACAAAAATCACCATTCCCTTTATGTTTGTCAAATTGATAAGAGTTGAAAATGTGCAATCATAAATGCAATTTTATCTAAGGAACTTAAAAAGTATACATATATCAGTAGCATTCTAATTACCAGCAGAAAGGGAAAACAAGATGGTTGCCCTAGTATGCCATGACAATACGTGGCAGTTTTAAGGTTAGGTTTTGGAGACTAGGTGTAGACTCGAATTCACGATGTTCTGGCTTAGCATTGCTCTTTTTCTTCTATTTTAATGGCTAAGGTGACAAATCCACTAGTGATTATAACTTCAATTTTATGTAGGAAACATATATCTGCACAGCGGCCAGTGGGTGCCTTTGAAATGGCATAAAAAAGGGCTAATAAGTACCCTTCACCAAGAAACAAACACAATTAGCAAATACTTTTCCTCAATGCTTTGCAGATGGCATCCGAAGGTATGGAAAAGACGCTACGAACCCTCAATTCTTCTAATATTTGAAGCTACTATGAGATGTCTGTGTTAGCTTTAAAGTACCCAGAAAACAAAGACATTCCTTCTACAAACAATTACAAGACACGGAGATTACAAGATGTTAAACTTTATACCATCAATAAAGAGTTTGAAGTTTACCTGCTCATCCTGCAAAGAAATGGCAAGTCTAGAACAGTTCCACTATGGCAGGAATCTATTANATACACTGTTGTAACTAGTAATTTAATCAGGAGTAGTTGAGTACCAACACTGACCTTTATATCAATTTTGTCTAATATTCAGCACCGTTAAATTAATAAAGATAATAATCACTGCTACCATGCATGTTGCCTAATTTTGCAGTCAAGAAACAGCTTTAACTTTTAATTATTAGTCACAGAAAACAGACCCAAAAAACTCGATGTGGCTGTGACTCTATCAAAGGGACTAAATTACACAACTGACAGTCAGACAAGTTCGAGTCCCCTTACTAGCACATAACTTCTCCTGCCTCTATGGAGGAGGTGACTACTATCATCACAGTGAACAAAAGCTAAAATGTATTTATAGAAGCTCAGTGATGTCCTTAAAAGCATAATCCCAGAAACCATTAAACGGAAAATGGGGGGATGCTCTGATGTAAATATTATAACATCGTAAGGTACGAAATTTCACGAATCACTACCCTTACTACTGCCCTATTGAGTCCAACTATTCACCATTCAGCCAGCTAGTAAAGGAACAGTTCTCATGTGATTAGCATAAGATTTCACTCTTTTTGTCATTGCTTCCTCTGCCACTTCTCGTTCCAGTGTCCTTCAATACTACATGCTGCGTAAAATTAAGAACTCTTAAGGAATTATTTTTTATTTCATATGGAGGGCAATCTCAGATAAACTGGTCGTGTGCAGAACTATTTGTCGATAGATTGAGATCAACTTAGAATCAACAAAATTGTCTGGACCATGAAACGAACTATTGATGCTTGCGACCACATATACAAAAAAATAAAAATAAAAAAAGGGGGGGTCATAAACCTTTTGCTTTTTTAACAAAATTAAGATACAAAAATGAAATTAAATCTCAGCTGCAGCATGCTTTGAAGTGATATATTTACCTTGACTCACCTTTTCTTACAAATACCTCAAACAATCAACCAACTATTGCTCAAACTGCAATATTCACCTTTATTTATTGAGATGCTAGTTTGAAAAAGCAACCCAATCAAAAAGAGAGCATCAAAGGGAACCAAAAACCACATAAAAAGGTCAAAATCTAACAGTGCCGCGTTTTTTGATTTCATACACCAAAGCATATTCCAACTTTATGTCAATTTCCGCAAAAATCATTAAGAGATCAGGAACAAATAAAAATATAAAAAGGCGAACGAAAATATAACATTGAATAGCGAAATTAAAAAGTAATATGCTTTCGATTTACCAGTGAGCATGATAATTGAAGATTCTGGAAACTGAAACTTGTTGATTAAGAGATGTTTCATGCACTTGGCGTCATTTAAGCATCCCTTGAGTTCGTGGCGAGAGTACCTATACGATATACCGACGATAACTGCCTTTTTCCGTCCGTGGGGGTTGGGCGGGGGTCCCGGAGGCGCGTGGCTGTAAGGAGAAGGCGGATCAGGAGGAGGCGGAGTAGCGTGAGAATGGGAGGGAGGCGGCGCATTACGCGGGTCAGCTAATTGGGTGACGGCTTGGCAGATGGCGCAGCGGATGGATCGGGCGCCCGGTGGCAGCTGTAATGGGGTCCGACAGTTGGAGCAATTTACTAACATGAACATGGTGTGTTGGAATTGGGAATTAATGGAATTGTGAGGGTAAAACGAGATCTTGGGTTCTGATCGGAGATTACAAGTCTAAGGGAAGGGGGAGGAGCAGGTGAGACCGACAGCGAAGGAGATTTGTTGAAGAGTGGGACGTATAGGACAATACTATTAAGAATAGGGGTAGTAATGGAATTTCATTAGGCTTTTAAGCGTCCTTGAAATCGTGTGTTAGGGAAAATTGCATATGCTGTCCCCAACTGACAAGGGCTTTTGGTTTGTATGAGAAAGATGATTATCACTTTTTCAAGATTTTCATTGGTTTAATTCTTTAACCATATAATGATTCCTTGACATTATTACACTTGTTGACGTCAAAGATCGTAGAGTGTATCTGAGCTCGAATTGTATAGACTCAAGTTTAGATCGCAACAAACAGAGCTTCCTATATCATGAAATAAAAGCTAGGGGGTTTAACCTTGTAGGCTACCAAAGTTCAAATCAGTCAGTTGAGAGAATATATTTTGCCCATGTTGGTAGAAATTAAAATTAAAATTTTAATTTAAGTCAAGTCAATAATTAATTTTAACCACATATTTTATGGATCACGCAAGTTTTCAACTATACAATTTAACTTTTATTAAAATATACTAAAAATCTGATTTTGATGTCCACAAAAAAAGGGGGCTTTTATATTGTAAGCCAAATCATTCCTTTAAGACACCAGACTCGCTGCATAATCTCAAGACAACTTGTAGCACGCTTTCAGCAACCACACAATTTCTTCGGTAGGTTAGCTTAGGGTAGGGTAGAGAGTTAAACCTTGAAGCTTTGGTGTTCAAATAGAGCTTCCTATTGAGAAGACACTTTCTTCACTGTCGTAATCTAAGTTTTAGTTGGTGGTAAATTTGTTTTCCTTAGCTTGGTGTGAATTTGAGCCGCAATTTATATAAGCAGCTAGTTTAACAACAGTCTAGATGGCAACATAAGTGATATGTGATAGATTCATTTAAATGTAAGGAGATATGATCCAATTGGATCTGTCACTGATTCGCTGTCATGCAATGGAAGACTACATTCTTAAACTTCATTGCAACAAAAAGAAGAAAAATAAATAACTATATTTTAGTAATATTACATTTCTATTGAATATCGCAGCAGTCATTAATTCACATACAAGGCCGGATGGATTAAGGGGTTTCCCTGGGCACCAGCCTCTCATTTTATACCCACCTCAACTTTACAAAAACAAAATGTGAAAAAACTAGCAAGATAGCCATCAGAGAGCTCTCTCTCTCTCTCTCTCTCTCTACCCGATCGTGTCAGCAAAGAACATGAGCTGATTCAAAATTCAGCTTCCATCAAGAAACTAAATTGTATTTTGAAAGAACAAAGTAAATATAGAGGTCACAGCAATAAGGTGAACCATGAATATCACTACCAGTTGAGCCTCCTGCAACCCATATTTTGTGCTCAAGTCCATTTTTGAACTGACAATTGAGTTAGATGCAGATTCTTTTATAACAGGAAAATTGGAAACTCATCTCTTCAATTATGCATTTGCTTTTGGACAGCCTTCACGGCTGCTACTCTAGCTGCATTAGCTGCCCTGTTAGCTGCTGCTACTGCCCTGTTCACTCTTTCATCCACCTTCGCCACATCATAAGCTTTCTCTGCTGCTCGTCTTGCTTCCTAATAATTAAACAAAAACTCATCACATGCCCTATTTAGAGAAATCTTTCCATGGATGGCATGGCTACATAGGTGTCGTTAAAATAACAAAGATATCGGTTTCTATCAACAGAATTTAACAACTTAAAATGCAATGTAAACATATATTACTCATAAATCTGTAAAAATTACAGCCAAAACATGTGCACCAAGTAACGTGTCAATCAACGTAAAGCATATTGACGTAATATTTGTTGTACAAAAAACTGTGCCAGCTATTCCATTCGTAAACTCAAAACAAATTCCTGAATGCGTGAAAGAGAAGATTACGGAGATGGCTTTGAGATGCAATTTGGAGAGTATGGAGGAATTTGGAGTTTTGTACAGACCATATCCACGGACAAGAAAATATTAGGAGACTTCAACAAGCAAGTAGGAAATGTTCACAGGCTGTCAATATAGTACATGGTAGATAAATTTGAGATAAAATGATACCAGTGTTGATCTACCTTTTCCTTGGCATAAGATCTAATTGTAGTTCTCTTTTTAATGAAAGGAGGATGAGCACTTGACAAACAATTTTTTTTCAAGTGCAAGGATAAATAAATCAGCTTATAAAGATGCAACTTGCAAGGTCATCTCAGGAGAGAGTTATACCTCTCAATATATAATTTCGGTTTGGCATTTCGTTTAAGTAACAATCACAGGTGAAAGATAGTGTGAAGGGTCGTAAGATGAAATCATTGGACTAGAGGATAATGAGTTAAGCTTGTTTAAAGGTAAGGTCTTTAGAGAAGCTGCTTGAAACTCCGATGACACTCCAAACACAGTTTGGAACAAGATTACTTATTTTATACAGAACCAGTGAAGGCGATGTTAGGAGAACTAAAGAGGAAGGGCGTACTGCTTAGACATGGTGGAGTAACAATTTCTCGAGGGGAAAATAACATATTATGGGAGGCAGCAAATAAACGGGATTAGTAGGAAGCCAAACAAGCTGTCAAAGAGGCAAAATAGAAAGCATACCACAAATTATATAAATGCTTTCATACAAACGGAGAGCATAATCCATATGACTTATCTAAGGTCAACGAGCACAAAACATTAAGCACCCGTTTGTTGTAGATCAAAAGTTGATAAAAATTTCGAGTTAAAACCAACAATTAATTTAAACTACACATTTCATGGAATCCATAACTTCTAAACCACACACTTTATCGACATTTATCAATCTACTAAAAATCTTATTTTAATCCACACCAAACAGGGGCTAACTGTCGAGTGCATTAGGACAAGGACTTTCAAGATGATATTTAAGAGAATAAATATGTGCTATTTGATGATATTGTTGAATGAAAAGGGGACAAGTATTCAAATAGCAAAAGGATACTATCACTGGGAAGAGTAGAGATTTGTTATACACGAAAGCCCGAAAAGTTGGAAGTCTGTAAGGCTTTGGAACCAGAGAGGTAATCCTATTGGAATTTAGAAGTGTCTGTAAGAAGTAGGCATATCGTGGTTGACAAAGCCATTTAACAAATTATATCAACAAAGAAAGATGCGTAGTTGCGTACTGAGAGGAAGGAAAAAAATTATTAAACCCCATTTATGAAACTAAGAGATACTAAGAATTGAGAAAACAATTGTGGCATTAAGCTAATATATCATACAACAATATTTTAGAAGATAGTGATAAAGAAAACAACTAACAATTGATGTTTTCAGAAATAAAATTGATTTCGAGTTTGAAAAGTCAATTATGAAAATCATTAAAACTGACCGAGCAATAAAGGGAAGTAAACAAAGATCTTCATGTGGTTTTCACTTATTTAGAAAAATGATAGGTGTTTATAGGGATGTACATGGTGGGTGTTAGAAAAGGAGTTAAAACCAAGTATATGAATGTTATTGAAGATGTATACAAGAAGATTGTGACTCTAGATTATAATGATCACAAGAACTACTAGAGTCTAGAAAGATTCCAAATTCTATAAAGGCTACACCAAGAATCTGCTTTAGTTTGTATTTGCATATCTCAATTATGGAAATTGACTGTGGTAAACCTAGAAGAAAAGGTATAACCAAAATCATATGAAGGGAGGTAATTGAAAAAAAAAAAAAAACTTGAACTCGAAACGGAATAATCATACAGCCAGCCCAAACAAGTCTTAGCTGCATTGAGTTTGGTTCAAAAATGGTGAAAAAAAGAAATGAAATGAATTTATTGAAAATGTGGTCCACATCATAATAAATCATTTTTCCTAGTTTAATAAATCAGTAGCCGCTACTTAAAAGGTAACAAGCTTGCTACTAATTGCCATTTTTGAAGATAGAGTATAAATATGCACAGGAAACAAATTAGCACTTCACTAAAGTTAACAAAATGCTCAAGATATAATCAAACTTCTCCAAATTGATAAGGTGTGTCCCATTTAAAAAACCCACACACAGACAGTAAAAGCGAGATCAAATTCGCGTTGATTATGAAGAAACAAAAAAGAAAATAATATAAAAAACACAAGCTGGCCGTGCAATTATGTTTTTGTGATAGATAATTCCCATTTCAAGAATTTTATACTAATCATTTTCAGTCATCGCATTTTATAGATGGGAATCCTTCAAGATAAATATTACCAAACCATATTAAACAAGAAAAATTACTTGAACAGAATTGAGCACTCTTGAATGGTTGACAGCAACAGGAGAAACAGGATGTGAGCTGTTCTGTGTACTAGGAACATCAAGAACCCCATTTTGCCAATGACCAGATTGAGTTTCCCCGTTCCTAAAAGTGTACATTCCAAGCCCCTGTCTTCTACCTTCATGCCAAGCACCCTCGTAACGGTGGCCATTTGCAAAAAAATAGACGCCAAATCCGTGCATCTTATCAGCAAAATATTCGCCAGCATATCTATCCCCATTTCTGTAGAATTTTAAGCAAACTCAATATTCTAATTTAGATAATTATGGACAGAAAAATAATATACAAGAGGGTAAAAATGTTATCGAGATGCTGTCTATTATCTCAGTCTCACACAGCAACTTGAGACATTATTGTTAATCCAGACGGCAGATACTATTTTCAGTACCAGCTGCAGATGTTTTATAGAAAATGCATATTTATAGCTTATATCCTTCCAAACTTTTAGGCTTTTTCAACATCAAGGAACCTATGCATGAAATATTTATCATGCGAAAAAAATAAGACTAATATACCTTCCTGCGTGTTGAATGAAAAGAAAAAAGGGGATTTAGGTAGGTCTGCATTTATAACATTTTTTTTTTTTTTTT